TAATAAATTACCATTAAATACAAAAATACAAAAAATACATTGATTTACAAATTCCATTTATCTTCCTTCCTGGAACTCCAGAAGTCATACATATGTATTCAGACTCTGATGAGACCTGTGGCTTCAGCAGAGGTGCTGGATCATGTGCCTTTAGATCAGGGATGGATCATATGCAGCCCATGTGGCTGTTTCTACACCCCAGCCTGCACCCTTGCCAGATTCCCTGTGGATCCCCACCCCCCCACCCCAAAAAAAAAGCAATATTGTAACAAAACAAGACACACTAATAACATGTCTTTGGTTCAGAAACAGAGTTATTCATAGGGCGTGAGTTCCCCACATGCTTTGTTTTCTTGTAAGAGTGCTACTTTGGGGGCTGCTAGCACAGAAAATCCACATCATTTCCAAATAGCTTGAAGTGCTCCATCCTGCTTAATCTTGGAAGCTAAGTAGGGGCAGGTCTGGTTGGTGTTTGGGCAGGAGACTTGAGTCCTGTGCTGAGCAGTGGGTGGACCTGATGGCCTTCTAGGCCCCTTTCAGCTGTGTGCTTCTGGGAAGAACGATTGCAGTTTCAGGAACGGGGCGTGTGTGTCACTGCAGTGGGTTCCCTGACCCCTAACGTTTGCCCTTCATGCTTTAAGCCTCATTTTGCTGTGCCTGTGGAGGGATCTTCAGAGCATGCGAATGGAACCTGGACTATTCATTGCCAGTTGGGTGTGCCTGGTTGCACAAGGCAGATGGAGTGAAGTGTGATCCTTCAAGCCACTTCTGCACATCCCTAAACTGGTGCTGGCCAAACATACTGCCCTAGCTGTCTTCTCAGAACAGGGGATGCTACCATTGAGCTAAATGGATGGATGGACCCTTTCGTTACCATTTTGTATGGGCAGAACTGTAATGTGCGCACCCCTGGCCCCGCTCCTGCCTCTTTTCTAACCCTCACATTCCAAGCCCCTCACGGTATTCAAAAAGGAACTAGCAATGGTGTCTCCAAGGACAGCTGTGGATGATCCTGGCTCACAGTTCCAGCAGGGGCAGGTGCTGCAGCAACTGTAGCCTGCAAGTGCAACCGTCGCAGCAAAACTAGGGTTAAAATAAAGCCATGCGTGTAAGAGGTAATGTTGAGATTTGGAAGCTGCCCTTCTCAAACCTGACTGTTAGTTCATCTAGCTCAGCTTGGTGTACATTGACAGCAAGGTTTCCTTCCTGGACTTTTTCTGCCCTACAAAAGTTGAACTTGGAATCTTCCAAGTTCTGGCACTGAGCTAGGATCCCTCTGCAAAGAGGAAGAGCAAGTGCTTTGAGCCCATGGCTTGTTTGCTGTCTTCAGGTCTAAACAATGAACTGTACATGAAGTTCTTGTTTTTTTCTAAGCAAGACAGCCTGGATTTAAAGTAAAATAAAACTCCTCAGCAGAACACAATTGATTTTAATAAGTTCCTTTAGAAGAAAATGAGCATGGATTAAAATGAAAGCTGAATTTTGTACAAATAAACACGTCAAAGCCTATTATCGCCATCCTGAAAACATTAATTTTAAAGGCTATTTTTCTCTGTTAAGAATCGTGGGAAAAACATCTGTCAGGGAGGTCAAACGTTCTATGTACAGCACAATAGGTTGCTGTATCCTGCAATTTTCAGGTTAATCTGGCACAGTCCTACATGGGTAAGTGAAATAAGGAATGTGGTCAGATCCCTGGGGATTTTGAGGCTTTCCTCAAGGCCAAAATGGGGAGCAAAACTTTATGTGAATGTTTAAGTCGATTTACAAAATACAAGTTTTCATTTGTGTTCAAGTCTGTTGAATGCTACCGAGTCTATGGGGAAACATTACTGCCATATTTCAGTGCATGGACAGACAGATCCCATTGGAACGGGAAATCTCAAAAAGCCAATTCTGAAGAATAGGCTTACAGAATGGTGTGAATAGCAAAGACCATGTGATCTCTATCTGTGTTATGTAGCAAGATAGCATAGTATGTTGTCTTGGATTGAGAGTGATACCCTCTACTTTATTCTTATCAGCTTGATAAAATAGTAAAAGCATGGGCAAGTCATCACAGGCTTCAGCTTTCTGTCCCTATCTTCACGAGATGCCATCTTGCATCCCACTGCACTCATCTGGTGACACACAGGTTTTGGGAAATGAACCACATTATCTTTTAAACAACATTGCAACTCTTGCAGTGATTTAAAAGCACTTTTGCTGTAGTTATTTATTTCTGTGTTATGCATATCCAGGGGATTAGGCATGACCAGTGGAATTTTTGGTTCATCTCAAACTGCTTTGGAAGCCCCTGTGTTTTCTAAAGTAGTTTGAGTAATTCAAGTCCAAAGTCTCTGGGGTATGGCGTGAGATGCACAGTTCCCTGAATCCCAGCCAGTGTTTTCCATGGAACTATTTCTGTAGTACAGTCACTAATGGAGCACTTCTGGATCCTGCTATCATTACATCGTCTGTGGAGCTTATTTTGGGTGATCTCACATTCCCATCTATTTACAGAG